GAGGAGCTGCTCCAGAAGGAGATTTGAGGGGCAACAAGAGAAAACAATTTGGTGTGATGGTTGATCCAGAACTTAGGAACCACTGGGTCTTGCAAGGAGAAGCCAATCTAAAGAAAAAGGAAACCAACAGTGTCAATGCCATCTTCAACAAAAAATTATAAAATACAAAAGCAGAAACAAAAGGAACTTGGTAGCTGCAAGTACATATTGCAACGTTGTTTTTGTTTTTGGCAGGCCTGCTGAGATGACATACCAAAGAAAATTATCAATGTAAGCCCCAATGAAATCAAAAGGGAAGAAACATGCCAGTGATGAATTCAAACAAAAGAATGAATTGAAAAGAAAGAAAAGAACAAAAATAGGCTCATAGAAAATGTACCATACTGCAATTGATGATTGAAAAGGATGGTAAGTTCTTGCTGTTCTTGGAAATGTTTAGTTTCTTTCTTGGGGAACTTGCTTATAAATAGGCCATTGTCCTATGTTAATCTGGAAGTTGGTCAACTTGTGGTTGAGGAATTCAAGTGCTGAGGTTTCCTTATGGGAATTAGTTAGTCAAAAATGGTGGACCAAACATAGGAAGGCTGGCATTCAAATGTTTGGTTTCTGTGAAAAGTAAGATAAATGAAAAAACAAGGCCGTTGCTATTTGCAGCCCACATGAAATCCATGTAGGTGCTGTCCAAATTACGCCTACACGGTTGTTTTCCGCCAAAAAGCACCTACATTTATGATGTAGGTGCTTTTTCCTTTTTCAAATGACGCCTACAGGCTGAAAAACCAATGTAGGCGTCATTTGTGTACGCCTACATTCTAAAAATAAAATGTAGGCACTATTTTCAAGCGCCTACATTCTAAATATAAAATGTAGGCGCTTTTTTTGAGCGCCTACATTGTTTTTTCCATGTAGGCGCTTAAGTTAGTTATAAGGGTCTTATACACGTGTGAATACAAATCTATAAGGGTGCTGGTATTAATATATAAGGGTGTTGGTATTAAATTATAAGGGTGTTGAGATTAATTATAAGGGTGGTGAGATTAATTATAAGGGTGTTGGTATTAAATGATAAGGGTATTAAATGTAAGAGTGCACATTTGATTATAAAATTATAAAAGGGTGTTGGAATTAAATTATAAGGGTGTTGGTATTAAATTATAAGGGTGTTGGTATTAAATTATAAGGGTGTTGGTATTAAAATATGTAGGCGCACAAAAATTACGCCTACAGTTAAAAAAATAGATGTAGGTGCATTTTTGTGACGCCTACAAAATGTAGGCGCTTCAAATTTACGCCTACATTTTATTTTTAGAATGTAGGCGTACACAAATGACGCCTACATTGGTTTTTCAGCCTGTAGGCGTCATTTGAAATCGGAAAAGGTGCCTACATCATAAATGTAGGCACTTTTTTGTGGGAAACCTTCATGTAGGCGCTGTTTTGGCAGTGCTGTCGTAACTTTACTGCAACAGGCAGTAAACAATACTCAAAAGGGTTCAACTAGCACTCGCGTACTTGTTAGTGCTAGGAGTGTCTTAGACTGCCCTTTCTAATTTTTGTGTGATGAAATAAACTTAAATATGAAGGAAGAGATTGCGCACAATTTACACGCTCTCGAGATAAGGTAACTCAACAACCTTAAGATTGTGAAGCTCTTGCAACGATGAAACTCAACACCCTAAAAAAAACAAAATGGTGTTATTCCCGTGAAGTATTACGCAACTTAAACAGCACTTGGTTGAATTACTGAATGAAATATAAAAAAAAAAAAAAATTATAACTTGGACTAAAATTAAATATCACCCTCGTTTAGAGGGGGCCGATTTTAAAGTGATCTAGGACTATAATAGTAAGTCTAACAATTTTTATTAAATTTAACCAATACGCGGTCAGAGATGCAGAAAAGAAGAAAAAAAAACCTCCACAAACCCCCACAACCCCTTCCCTTTTATATCACTAATCATTATCGGACGAAACCAGGATAAAGGAACTTATACAACAAGAGACACAGGGTCCAAATTTTGCACTCACGACGTGTTAGCAAAGCTTTTTCCAAGATTGTGTCAAGATTGTTGTATGTTTGGTGCCAGGCTACACTTTGTGCAGCTTTGGAACACACTCTTTACACCTGGTTGGTGTTGAGCGAAGTCAATCTACAAATAATCAGTATGAGTAATACCTATCTTGATACCAAACATGTATGATTCCTTTGCTAATGTGTCGTGAGTATAAAATTTGGACCCTGTGAGACAATCCACACAACTCCCAAATTCTTATTCTACGCATGTCCGAGCATCTATCTATAGCAGGAGCGGCTTTACTCATGATCGAGGAACGAGTTTTCAAAAACCGGTATATAATATGTAATGTAAAACAAAGACTAAGGCCGAGGGATCCTTATTGAAATTAAGGTAATTGAATTTCGAGCAGCTGTTTCGTGAGTCCGGGAATCGATTTCCCTAGTTCTTCCCCTTTTACATCCTTACCCCAGTCTGGTTACTAATAGCACGAGGATTGTAAGTGCCTTAGCTCGTTGAATTTGATTCTGCAAGGAACTTGTACACGCTGTTTATAACAATATACAAATACGGGAGTTCGCCGCGAGGGCCGTAGACTAAGAGCGTAATTTGTGTGTTTCAGTAGTGTTATCTTTTATCGACTTTCTCGAGGTGATGAGTAGCCCTCATCCGTTATCCCTTGCACTTGATGTTCTACCTAGGCCACAAAAGTTAATCGTATTGGTACCCGAGTCGCTTGTAAGTTCTTATTTTGTTTGCTTAATGCTAATGCGAATTGATGTTTGATTACACCCCAAACCACAATTTCCTCATAAGACGTTTCCCCTCGGAGTTTCCGGAGCAGACCCCCCCTTGATAACCGATGCTTGTGATAGTCCTCGTCCACTTCCCACTGTATACACTGCCCTTATCACCCCTTTACCATTTACTCAGTTATCCGCGCCCTCTTTTCCCTTTCTTCCACCCCTCATAAGTTATAACCAAACCAATGAACATAGATGAAAAAAAAATAAGATAAATAATAAAAAAGATTAAAATAAGTTAAAGTAGAAAAATAATAAATAAAGAAATGTATATATATATTTATATATAATAAAAAAAAGCAATTGATTTGTTGATCAAGAAAAACAAAAATGCAGCCTTCCACCCGTTATTAAACCTTGATGGAGATGTTGAAGTGTTTGCCGATTCTCACTACACTTACACTCATCTGATACCCCTCCTTTTTATCCATTTTATTTTATTTATGTTTTTACTTTATTTTTTTATAAATTCTTGCTTGATGAGCCCTTTTGCTCACAACAGCGCCTACATGGATTTTGTGTGGGCTGCAAATAGCAAAGGCCAAAAACAAAAGATTATCATTTAAGTGAGAGGTTTTGGTCTGGTGCAACAGACTGGGTTGGGATACACTTGGTGGGGATTTCAGGGTGAGTTTCCAGTGTATATTTCCATTTTGAGGTTATGGCACATTTGGTGTTTCTTACAGTGGCTCTAGGATGTTACTTGAATCACAATGCACATCATCAACAATCACAAAATTTACATCAACAGCCCCCAAAAATCCCCGCTGTACAAGTGCCGACTCTTGCTGGCCTTGCCTGGCCGTGTTCACCAATGTTCTCATCAACAACTTGAATCCATTAAAAATATTGATAATCCAGTGCCTTGAGCTAATACCATCAAGCCAATCATAAAGTGTGATGAGAGCTCATAAAAACCCAAATAAATAATTAAGATGGCAGATTCAATAGTGAGAAAAACAAACCAAAAAACAAATGAATCAATTGCACTTAATGATATTGTTGCCAGGTTTTTTTAGTTTCTGTGCCTTCTAAAGACAATTTATCATTGTTGACCTTGTAGACATCTCACCGTTTTGTTCATAGGACTAGCATAGCTTAGTTGAGATTCACCCATTGTGGTTCACTTTGCTATACGTTTGGATAGAATCAGACGACCAACGCATGGTTGATTTGATCTCAAAGTTTTTGGTACAAGACGTTCATAACATCGACACATTTCTTCCGTTCTTTCACCCTCTATCAACTCTTCAAATAAGCTTTATGACTGTAATGACATGGCATCAAGGTCTGCTTTGTCCATGATGAGATCAGCACTGCCACAGATCTGGACGATTTTCCGGGGTTGCCGCTTGTTCATTGGGGCTTTTTTGACTCAAGGAACGTCGTTTTTGTCAATTCTGACAATGTGACTCTAGAGGATAACTTGACAAAGTCATTCTCGGACAAACAAGTAGTTGAGAGGTACTTTTCCTGGGTCCTGCCTCAGGATGGTGAGCGCAGTCCACGCGGCCTCTTCAACGCAGAGACAAAATCAAAGCATGTTTGATCGAACTTCAATGCGCCCAAGTTTTGCATACATTCTACTAGGCTTGCAGCCAAGCTCCCTTTACCAAGCAGTCTTCCCCATCTTGGCACAGTTGAGACTGCGAGTCGAGATGGATTTGGAACTCAATCCTCGAAATAAATGAAGAAGACACTTTTCGCCGACTCGTTCTCGCGAAATGCAATCGTGTATCTCATCATCACTGATTTCTGTCACAAATTCAGATCGTGGAAGGACTTGATTGACAGTCCCTGGAGTTGTGGATTCCGTTCTGACAATATCTGGGACGTGATATAATTGTGTCCGCAGTCATTCCTTCTACGATCAAACGGCAAAGTCGAGATGCTCGATGAGTTACATGACTTCGAAACTCTTCACCAGATCCTGATGCGTCAAACCCTCATAGCTACACTTTGCAATACCATGCAGAGGCAGCTAGGCTTTAATCTATAAAAGCCAGCTCTCGCCAGCTAGAATAACTCCCCTTCATCAAATCCCGATCCAAACATTTTTCACAAGCCTTAACATCAGTTGCATTGATTTACCACTCTTTTAGTCAAATTCAACCAATACATTGCCACGCAAATCCAATCTTTCAATCAAATCACTTTCGTTACTTATTTAAGCAAGATCATCATGCGTTCATTCCTTTCTACCCTTGTATTCGTGGCAGCGTGTGCTTACTCAGCCCGTGCTGATGCCCCTGCTAGCCCAGCAGACAGTCCAGCGGGTGCCCAACCAAAGATCGTTACCATGAAATGTAGTCAAGCTTTCATGCCTATCTCTGAAGCCGACCTGGCGGCCATGAACTCGACTGACCCTACGCAAGATCCAACAGGAAATTGTGAGTTCATCAAATTCAAAGCTATCTTCCGATGCCATTTTGGTATATTCAGAGGCCTAACGTCTGTCATTTATTTCTGTGTCAGACTCAACTGTTCCGACGGAAGCAGCTTGTAAAGCCTTCGATGATCCTACTGGCGGGTTCTGTAACCCCAAGTCTTGCGTTGGTTATCCAGGTTCATACTTGCTTTTACACTTTTACTCCTATAACGCCATGCGCGGTGACCACAAATCTGCGTACTAACGAGTGGTGCAATAAAAACAGTTGGCGAGCAATGCAATGAGGTGATCATCACAGGTGCCAATAGCACCAGCATTTCCAACGCCACTGTCGCTCGCGTCTCCTGTGAAGTCAATTACTTCAAGCCTGCGCCCAACGACACCGATCAACGAGTCCGTAAGTGGAATTCTAGCTCTCTAGCTGGGCAGTGCAGCCACAACTGATTCCCCATGATTGTTACAAGTCTGCACTTCTCAGGACCAGAAGATCTACAGCTGTAAGGGTCAGTGCGTAGGAGAAACGAGTAAGTTGATGGTTTTCTCTGAACAATAATCCCTTTGAATATACCCTGATAGTGCTTCCTTTTTTATCTGCAGCTTGCACCGAATGGTAAGTCTATACCTGATCTTTGTCAGATACATCCTGGCCAATGTTTTGACAATGTTTCTTCATCTGCGAATCTAGTGTCAGTATGAGCGATCCAGCCCTCGCAAATTTGTAGGGCTTTGGTTTTGATTCATGAAATAGGCCCTACTCTTCCCCGGCTCGAAGTACCTAATTGAACATGAAGGATTAGTCGGCAAAACTCATCTTCATGTTTTATGCTCCTTTTTTGACTTAAAGTCTTACAATTCTTCTCTACACAAATTGCTTTGGAAACATGGAGTGAAGTTTGTTTTCTCATTGTGATCTTCACCGGGAAACTAGATACATACACTGTAGCTTTCTTAGTATGGAACACATTATAATGCATTAGCAATCTGTTTCCCCGGGCATTTGTCTATATGCACACCTTGCTTTTGTCTAGTTGCAAGCCTTGTTTATGTAACTTGAGATATCGGTCTTTTTTAGTCTTTTTTGTGTTCTCGTGGTCGCAATGGAATGCCTAATGTGCCAAATTGACTCTCTCTGATTGAATATGCCCTTTCAGTTTATTCTCAAGCCTTGTGTGACATTCCAGTATATTCCATTCATATTACAAAAAATTAAAAAATTGTAAAAAAAACGCCCTCTGACTCCCACTCTTTTTTTAAAGTGCTTTTGGCTTAATTGCATATAACACTAACAGAGCATATTGTTTGTATAAAAGACTAGTACACCTTAGAGAAAAACAGCCATCTAATCAAAATTGGTGGTGTTTCCAGAGCTTGCAGAGGTACACAAAATTCCATTCTCAAGTGGAGAGGGAGTGTCAATGACAGGCAGGATGTCACGGGGTAAACAGATGACATCTGGTTACCATGGAATTTGGAGGAGCCATAGAGAGGAAAAATTTCTACTCTCTCCCCTCCTACAATTCTCTCCTGCACTGTCTCATTGACTCTCCTGCAACTTGGATTCTTCGTATAAAAATTTCTCTCTTATCAAAATTTCTGAAAAAAACCGACCCACCACCCGGGGGGTTGAGAAGCATGATCTTCTCAGGCCTGTTCTTGCCTCAAAGGTGAGATGCATAGGGAGGGGTTTTTCTACCCCATCCTAGCCGTATCCCACCTTTGAGACTACCCCCACACCACGCCAAACTGGTCTGCTGGTCTCATGGAACTGAGACTGGATTCCACAGTGGTAGAACGGTCCTGGTAAGATTACCTTCACAGTCAACTGTAGGGTTAAGACTGAACTAGGGTTACCATACCTGGAGTTCTTCTCCCACCTCTTGCACATGCTCTCCACATTAGATGAATGGATCAGGAGTAATCTATGACAATAAGTACAAGAACTTTTGAAGAGTCCAAGGTTCAAGCTTTTTATTCCCTTTGTACGTTTTTTTATACATAAAATCTATCTTTAGGTGTTTAGCCCACCCGCAGGAAAGCAATGGACCTCTAGCATCATTCTGTAATAATAGACCAAATTTGAGATGTAGCGCAAGTGGGTCTATGTACTGCCCTGCTTCTTAATTTGTGTATGTAGCAGGTCTCTCTCCTTAAGTGCAGCGGGAGTGGATATCACATGTAGTGGTTTTGTGAACCATTACAAAATGCATTTGAGATTCCACTTCTAAATACAGTCCTGCTTCTAACATCAGCAAGCTCACTGAGTACTATTTTTAGATCCATCCAAATTCAGGAATCATTACTTGGACTATATCATCTTTCCATTACTTGAAAGCTTTGCGTGTAGTCTCTGAGGTTCACCGCTGTGTTTCCCACAAAAAAGCACCTACATTTATGATGTAGGCACTGAAAACCATCTAAAATGACGCCTACATGTTAAAAAACCCATGTAGGCGTCATTTGGTTACACCTACATTCAAAATTTCAGAATGTAGGCGTAATCTTTGAGCACCTACATATCTGATTTGAAATGTAGGCACTATTTTTGAGCACCTACATGGGAAATCCAATTTAGGCGCTAAAAAATGAGCGCCTACATCCAATTTTCAGCTCAAAAAAGCGCCTACATGCAGTCTTTCATATATTATGTTGAATTCATTTTGAAATCTTTCTGAATCTTTCATGGAGTCAGTGGTAGGCTCTGGTGTGCCAGACACGCCAGAGCCTAGAAGATGGGGGCTGTAAAGCACCTCACAACACTCCTTTCCCTCACCCCACCTTGGCCAAGTTTCTTTCACTCATCTTACGTAACTGTTAAGGTCTGAGATGAGGGACAGGGGCAAGGATGCTATGCGTGATAATGAGATTGCAACATAGAGAAGAAGCAAAGTCACGACGCTCAGTCAAAGGTAGACATGGGAGTGCAGACGTCTACAGTACAAACATATGTGTATAATGTGTAATATGCTCATAACAATAACCCTGTACAATGGCTTTATTTTGCCTTTGTGTTGATTCAGATAACAATACAAAATATTGTAGATTTTCACAAATCCCAGATAGATGCATTTCCCTCTTGAAACTCAATCCTTGTAGTCCCTAAAATCAGAAGGGAGTGGTTTGCCTGTAGTGCCCTATCAAGGTGTTCATAATTCTGCGGGAAAGACACATTATCATGTGTCTAATAGCACTAGAGGCTCTAATGACACTTGAAGTTGAAGCAATGATTTAGAAAAACATAAAAAAATTGATTATCATGATTTCTAACCCCATCCCATAGCTTGAAGAGGAATTGCTCATGGTAAAAGATTGGCCTTTGTCGTCATAAAACTTGATTGCGAATCAAATTGCATAGTATGACATGGAAAGAGCAGAGAAATGTTGTGAATATATATATGTGGTGTTCTATTCACACTTGTGTTTAGACTTAAGTTATAAGTCTATAGTCAAATTTAAATATCATCGTCATCCTGAAGTATTTTTCAGGTTACACATGAGATCTAATGAAGCCATAAGCAAACACCTCCGTCCAGCACTTGACAATCTCAAATAATTGAAAATCATCACATGTGACTCTCCTTCACCTCACCTTTGGCCTAAAGAAAAATTGTGTCAGAAATAAAATTGAAACTTTGAATTAGGTAGCATGTCTATATGCTTCACTCACTAGGGAATCAAATTGTGGCACTAGAGTAGAAAGCTGTTCCTTTTCTCCACCCGATAATTGTTGTAGTTTTGATTCGTATTGTGAAATTACGTTTTGCCATCGAGTCAATTCTTCAGCCGGTTTCCCATAAAGTTGTCGTACTCCTTTGGCATGCGTCTTGAGTTTGTTCCAAATTACTGTAGATTCCTCTTCATTTTTTCCTAAAATGTTGCTTTTCAGTACCTTTTCAAGAAAATTTGGCTCCTTTACTAGCAAGTCTAGTGAACCAATCGGAATGTGCTGAATCCCTTGAATTCAAACAAATTTTGAAGTATAAATAAACATTCACACTATAGGAGAATTTTGATGACAATTAGGAATTTAGGACACTTACAAGGAATATAGTGATCCAATATATCTCGAGGAGTTGCATACTTTAAACTTTCATCCTTCAAGCCTTCAGTATGCCGAAAATACTCAACGTACTTTCCAAATATTTCTTCCATTGAGTCTTGCATCTTGGCTTCGTCTTGATAAACATTAGAGACGCGTTGAACAAGTGGATCTAATTCATGTTGGTTATGCAACAAGATTTGATGAGCTTGGAAGAGATTTTTTTGAGCTTCTAGGTAACTAGGAAGTTCTCTCAATTCGGAAATCACACTATCTTGTTGATCATGTCGATTTTCTCTCATAGCCGTCCTGATTGCTTCGACACCTTTACTTTGTACCTGTTGTCCGACTAAACGAGCTCTGTGCATCATATCATCCTCCTTGATGAAAGGGACTAGAGATTTTCAAAAATTAAAATTCAATGAGAACCTCTTCTTCAGACTAAAGTATTAGCATGCACAGCATCATGGATTACTCACACTGGGTCGGTGCTTTTGAAGCTTTATCTTTGTCCAGGGCAGATTCAATTGCCTCTTTTGCTATTTTCCCCGAGAAAAAAATCTATTAATGATCTCTCGCTTAAATTGAATTGAAAGTATAATTTAACTCACGTTTTTGAATTCCCGTAGCCAGATCTACTTCTTCCCTTGGGTCTTTGATGATGGTACGGAACGGAAATGAGATCACCTTCCATAACCCTCTAAAAAAGTAACCCAAGACCTTCTTCGTACCCCTTCCTAATGCTTTAGTCCACCTTACCACATGCCAATCATACTTTTCGGAGTGTAAGGGTGGAAGTCGTGCCTTCTTATGAGCTTTGATCCAAGCCTTCTTTTTTTGTTCATTTGTGAGTTGCTGAATTGGTTTTTCGTCAGAATAGGTTGGATCTACACGGAAGTTGTGTCCCGGGGTCTTTGAAGTCGAACCTGGTCGATGCGTATTCTCTAGTGCTTCACTCAATTTCTGAACTGTCTGAGCTAAATCATCTTGCAGCGCTGCACTATTTCCAATACCACTAGGGGGTTGAAGGTTGTTCAATGGGAACGGCCCACCAATCATGTGTGATGGTACCAGTGGTCTGTTTGCAATCTGTGATTCATGTTCAGGATGCTTTGCCAGTGCTAATGACTGTTCAGGCCCAGACCGTAAGGCATCTGAACCGCCAGCCCCAGTCCGTGCTAAATCTTCAGCTACATTGAACGCTCCTTCCACGCATGAAAAGGTAGAAGCAAAGATCGGTAATAGAAAGAAAATTCTAAGGCTGAAGTCTTTGCGATTCATCTCCATTGTATTGAATAATATTTTTGGCCAGTAAGGTGGTCGGAAGAAGATGCGATGAATTTTAGATAAGGTAAGCTGAAAGCAACGAATGTTAGAGTGACGGGATAGGAACAGCGAATACCCCGAAAATGAAGGACTCTGCTCTGATAACTTGGAGAATATTTCAATAATCGTTTAAACCGTGATGGAAGGGAAGAGAGTCTCAAGCGAACCGGCCAACTTAATCTACTAGAATTCCTGCTGGGTTTCATCGCTCAACTGGAAACTGCGCTGAAGGCCTATTCCTGATCGTTTTGATGAGGAAATGACATGTCTGCGGCGTTTTTTCATCTGTATCTTAATCTTCATATGACTCTGTGATCCTGGGGCTATATATAATTCGCAGCCAATTAGGTCTCAACGAGGCTTCTCGACCCCCTATATCACTCGCAAATATATTCGCTACAGCGTAGTACTCGCAGAATGAAACAAATGCGCTATATCCTTTGATACCAAAAATCCATCTTATTTCAGTTGCAAATCCGGGTATTCGCCTGTGAAGTTTACGACATAAGGCATCAATCCAGGTCTCGTACCAGTAACTACAGGGAGTAAACCATGACAAAATGTATCAGGCGATGCTGGGTTTTATCTTGTGAGATGGATTTTCAAAAAGATGAAGTCCATTTTGGGGTTGTGTTATAGTCTCCATAAATTTTTGTGAAGCAATGCTATGGATAACCAAAATGGTATAGCCCAAGATCAAAATGTTCGGTTTGACACATCAGAAAAGCATTATGAAGGGCAGGAACTGCCAACTCCAGCACCGAAGACAGCTGTCTCTAGCTCAGAGTCGTGGTCCTTGGGAAAATGTTTCCATCATCTGGGCTACATTCCCATATGTTCCTTTGTGCGCTTCCACTACACTTTACCCGGCCTATTTCCTTGATAATTACTATGTGAGTTCCTCTGATACACTGGCGGCGGCGCATCCTCCTAGAAGTGATTTTGTGCTACTCGAGTCTGAAGGAATCTCACAGGAAGACATCAACAGTTCTCTTCCATCTCTTGAGTGCAATTGGGAGTATACTCAAGTTATGTCGATGAACCGATTTAGTACATCTAGATGATGATGAAGTTTACTTTTTGACAACACAAAAGAATTGAATTATCAAAACTTAACCAAGACCAGCCTCATATCCCTTGATTCAATGGTCCAAAATGTGACTTTTCTACTAACCCGACTTGCATGGACACCGTGTTGTGGTTTCCTTTTTTGGTGTGTGATGGATTACACAACAAAACGTATCTTCATCATTCAGACGGTCTTCAATATTACCACAAATCTTTACGAGGTGTATCCAATATCCATGGATGTCAGTGTCACAGTGAAGATAAAAAATCGACAATCAAGAGGCGGATTTTTCATTCTCAAGTACTTAACAGGATCCAAAATGAACCTTCAAGGATATTCAGTAATGATTAAAATATACATAAGAAAAAATTACATTTGATTCCTTGTCTTTTTGTTTATCTACCATACTTTTGTAGCTCTACAGAAAACAAAACAAGAGTTTTGTAAAAAAAAGCAAAAATCGTTAGTCAGTTGATGGTATAAGGGAGAGAAGACTTTTCGACTTACCCCATTCACGGTTATCTAATGGGCAAACTTGTCTAGTCTTCAACCATCTGGATATACAATGAAAATGAAAAGCGTGCTAATGAATAAAAATGAAGATGACAAAAAAGACGCGTAGAATCAGTTAAGGATCATCAATGAAAAAAGTTTGATTTCATAAAATCGAGCAAACTGACGTTACAAGTTCCCCAAGCGACTGTGCATTCCTCGTTTGTCGCGCTAGCTTGATTGGCTTGACACTCAATGCCTATCAAGGCAAAGATCAAGGAAAATTGTCAGCACTGTCATCCAGAGTTGTACTTGCATGGATAAAGAAGGTATGAAAAACCAACAGAGGTCCATGATATGATTCCTAAAGATTACCAAGATCGCGAACATTAGCTTCTCATCATCGAAACTATAGTCGATTAAAGAGTACGAATGTAAGACCAACTAACCGACAGATAGCGCAATTATCAACAACGATATCCCAGGCCCATAAAGCTACCGCGTTCCACTAAAGTGCCAAACCGACAAGAGATAAGTGAAAGAATTTCGCCAAAGAGAAAACAGATCGAATGACCTTTTTAACGACAAATCTCTTAGGAGCAGAATTAGAAGATTCAGCAACTTGTTTGGTCTCATCTACTTCCATTGCTTCAGACATCTTGATATTGAGCTATTGGGTTTTGTGTTTGTGAGGTGGATTGTGTGTGTTCGAGTGTTGGAAGTCGAATGAAGGGTTGGCTGAGGTTCTGATTGGAAATTCAAGCCAAGAGGGTTGGATTGCCCTTTGTTTCTTTATTTACAGTTAAGAGGCTCACTCTAAGTACATAAGCCGGACTTAAGCTTAAGAGTTGTAATGTTAAATGCCTTTTAGAGCACCCACTATGGTGGGAGTGTTTTATCGTAAAGTTTGCGTTCCTGAGCGCGAAGTTTGATCATGCGTGTTTTACCAAAGTTGGTAACCGCGTGAAATCCACTATGGGATGATTTATTGTCTGCTTTCCCTAGTTCCTACAATAAATCAAGTCGTAGGCTTGCGTAAATCTGAGCACACGAAGTGCAAGACTTGACGCAGCCGTACGGACCGCAGGTCTAAAACAGGTCCATAGTGGACATGTTGGTATTTTAGCGTTAGGGTAACGCTAAATCACCGAGTTAACGCAACCATAGTGGGTGCTCTAAGCACAACCTTCTACAAAATGTTCTACGAGAAAGAACTCTGACCTGTTATCAATTCAGGTTTTATAATGTTAGCTATAAGTTATCACAAGTTGATAACTGATCTTTGGTTCTGTTCAAGGAGATTAAAGACTTATAATGTATTCAATAAAGGATGAAATTAACAACATATCAGATAAAACAACTTCAGTCACTGTGCCCATGGAGAGCGCCCCAGACGTCGGGGGCTCCAACAAGTACAAAGGCTTCCCTTTGTACTCTTGAGGGCCCCCGACGTCTAGGGCGCCCTCCATGGGCACAGTGAGTATTGATTATAGTGAAAAGATAGAAATGTACTTACTTCTCTTCCCAAAGATGGGAAAGAGAAGTAAATTGAAGAGAGACAACTACTATAAGTAACTAATTCGTTGAAACTCATTGGGGCAATTAATTAACATTGTAAGTCTCCTTTTGCTTGACAATATTTTCAAGTTAACCATTTTACTCGTATATCCGACTCTTCTCTAGACTGATTTTTCTCTGTCAATTGCACACTTCAACATACTTTACCCAACTATACTCAGTATAGTATCCTTTCACCAACTATACCTGGAAAAGTGTTATACATGTTTTCCATCAAATTATGCAACTATACTGCACAGTATAGTTTGATATATCTGAGTATAGTTCATCTATACTATACCAAGTATAGTTCATCTATACTATACCAAGTATAGTTCAAGCTCAGTATAGTTTGACTATACTATACTAAGTATAGTCGAGTATAGTATAGTATAGTTGCAGCCTTGATTCCTGCACAAGCTGTGAAAAGGGTTTGGAAAAGAGTTGTGCAACACTTTCAGTTTGACCACAGGATGTGCAACAGAAGATGTAGCACTGTGTCCTTGTGGCAGTCGCCCTACAACAAGCGCACACAGAATGCCTTTGAGGCACAAAGGCAACTCGTGTGCGCTTGTTGACAAGCAAACACCACAGAGACATGGTGTAGGATCAGTTGATAGGTCTACAAACATTTTTGGGTTAGAATAACAGATGATAAGATGTGCCATGGGTAAGTTACTTGCACTGCCGGCATTAAAGAGGTTCTCAGATGGGAATATGAGATAGTCACAAAGGCTGTCTGTTCCCTACGACCCATATTCCAATCTGGGAACCTCCTTAATGCTGGCAGTGTTGGTCCATTCCCTAACCTGATGAGGCATTTACAGGATGGAGTCAGATGCCTGAGGCCCCCAAGGGGCCTCTGAACTTGAGTGAGGCTATGCAATTTTGTGAACAAACCACCTTGGAGGATCACTACTGTGATTGTGAGAAACTCTTGTGCAGGATGACAAGGAGGTGGAATTTTACACAGGGTGCTTTACACCGTGTTTGTTGGTGTAAAGTCAACCCAGTGTAAAAATCAAAGTTAGGGCCCTTTTTTTGAATTTTATACATATTTTCATCTTTTTTGTCCGTGTAAGAGAACTCGGTGTAAAGATGTCAGTGTAAAAGTACGGAACCCGGTTGATACTTATAATTTTACACTGTGCTTTTTACACCAAAAGTTACGGTGTAAAAAATGTCAGCGTAAAAATCAAGACTAGCCCTGTAAAGTTGAATTTTACACTGAGTCCTCATTACACCAAGCCAGCCTGTGTAAACACAGCCAGCGTAAAAATAAATTTTATCACATTGAAAGTGTAATTTTACACCGGCTCGCAGAATATATAACACTGACATTTTAAAATTTGTTTTAAGTCAGAAAAAAAACAGAAAATCATTTGATATTACTTGATATCAAATGACAGTTCACATCATGTATACATCAACTTTATTTATAGTAACGGAAGGAAAGATACAAGCCAAAAAAACATCATGCACGTCGCTGGCGCCTTGTTCTGGGTTTTTCCTCGCCCTCTGATACCACCACATTATCTTCTTTGACGTGCTTGTCATCCCCATCTTCAAGAACCACCCAGCCTTTCCAATTGGCTTTCTTAGGTGCTTCTGCTGAACACCCAAAACAAATCAGCTGAGACAATCAAAGTGACTACAGAGGATTGGATGCACACCTTTCTTAACTTTTGCGTCTTTGGAAACGGGGGCCTTGGAAGCCTGTGATTTGGCCTGACACTTTTTGGGCGTTGCTGTCGGGAAAAGAGAGAAAAGGAATCGTCAGTTAGCTGTTTGGATCATCAATATGTAATGAAGCTTTTTTTATACCTGCTTTAGATTTTGTCGCAGGTGCAAGTTTGGCGACATCATGATCAATGTCCACTTCCATGGCGGCCGCAGCTGCGTCTTCAAAATAATCAAATTTAATCTTTTCCTCCTTGTTGACTTCCTTCTTCTTACACTACGCCAGATCACTGATTTACCACTGAGTTTAGAAAATTGAAACTGTAGAAAAATATCACCAATACAGGAGAGGTCAGAAAAATTTGAAAAAATAACGATTCCATTCATGGGTGCTGTCCCCTCATTTTGCATATTTTTGCATATTTTTGCCATGATTTTTGAAGTCTTCCCAAAGCAAACTGCTCACAGGGGATATTATGTCAGAAACTCAAATTTGGTCCAAAACTAGCAATATTTGGGCAAAAACCTCCAAGCACAAAGATATGAGTATTTTTGTTCAATCATCTGAACACTTGCAATTTATGGAAGCCACATGATGGCTCTACAAGGTTTATTAAGGTGCTGAAGCCATTGTAGTAATGACTTCTATGCTTATATATGGTTCCTGCTGTGTACATCTCTTGATATATCTCACCCATTCTTGGAGACACACAACTTTTTTGTGCACCCAAGCTGTAGAGCCAGAGTGGCATTCAGAATGTCAAGACACTACATGTTTTGGAGCAAAATTGATGATTTTGTTGGTGTTGCAAGGTCACTGTGTCTCTACCTGCCAGTTTTGGACCAAAATTGGGTTTCTGACATTATTTGAATTGTGGTTGTAAAAATATGAAAAAATATGCCAGATGATTGGAATGCACCAAAGGGCCCAACCAAAATTTTTTCATATTTTTCTGACCCCTCCCAGCTTTTCCATAATTTTCTATGTCTGCTCAATTTTCTAAACTCAGCGGTAAATTTTCAATTTGGCGTAGTGTTAACTTCTTTCTTCTTGACCCCCTTCTTGACTTCCTTCACGTTGATGTCGTCCAATGTTTCCAAATCAGATGTATTCAAAGGTTCTTGATCTTGAGCGTGATTCTCTTCAGGGAGTCCCCCTCCAAAAGGAAATGTGCGAGTTGGCATGGAAAAGGGGATGGTGGAGTGCTTATTTGGAAATACCTTCATGAGGTCACGAATAGATTTTTCAATATGGGCCAATTCATCGCCCTGTGGCATCCGAGAGTAGAAAATCCAGCTGGTGGAAGGAGAACAGCCACCTATGCTGGTGACATCAGTACCTTCAAGCTGCGCAATACCTCCATTTTCACGCTTGTTGAAGTGCCATACACCCAGAATACCGCCGATGGACCTGATTACCCTACACCAATAATGAAAATGTGCCCAATAACCATGTGCAACCATCATGTAATCCACCCCACCAAGTACCATTCGAGCCGGCCAGTTGGTTTTGCCTTGATAAATTTTGTGCTTGTCCGCCGTCATTCCAGCTACGCCGTCCAAGTAGAAGTATAGATGTAGAGGTGCCGACTGTGGATCAAAGACAATGGTGAAGTTATTTTGCACAAATGACAGATTTTTGATGACTGGATTCACGTTTTCACGGGAGACTTTTGGCTTCGATGGGTGACATTGATGGCACAATATCCCTTCTTTGGTAAAACCTTCCGAAAGCCACGTAGATATCAACTTGTGAACGTTGGCGTACGGAATTTTCGCATTTGTGAAGCTGTCTCTCATCAATCTGATGATTGCTCGACGTTGGTTGGTAACTTGAATATGCTTCGAATTGCGAAGACAAGAGACCGTTTTCTTCATAGTGTATTCAAATAGAGGACTCAAAGAAGAGTTTTTGTCTGCAGCAGTCTCTCATAATAGCTCCATGAAGCCATCAGCCAAAGACAAGGCATCATTGGCATACGAGATAGATCGGGCTTGGACCCCCTCGTGAATGAGCCTTTGCCAACGTGCCATGCTTTGGGAAGAGCCATCCGCAGAAATTTTGAAGTTGCAACGTGCTGTGAAATGGCGCATGAGTAAGTTGACCAAATCCGAGCTGTTCACCGTTAAATATCAACTCCAAGAGGGGCCAAAAAGGGCGTAAAGGCTTTTGAGAGTGGCAGTCTGCCAACACTGGTTCAAAGAACCCGCCGTGGTCCCAGCGGTGTAAGATTGATAAGTTGTCATGGCACTTTGGTTGACGTTCTGCGATCCAACTGGTTGACCTAGTTTTTTGGGTTTGCTATGCTTTTTGTCGAGTAGTTTGTTGGTAGTGTCAGGTGCACGGCCGTCGTTGCGAGTGTACTTTTGTTTGGTTGGTGGTGCCATTCCTAAGGCGGTTACAACTTCCTCCCAAGTATCATGGGAGGTGCCACCATACGTGATCAAAATGCCCTTCTGAACTGCGTGGTAATCCTTCTCCATGCACTGGGCAAACACAATTAGCTGAATGATACCAAGTATCACATTGCATTTGCCATCGCTGAGCGTGAAAGTGACCCACTGGCATCAGCAATTTTTTTCTAAATGGATCAGATCAAATCGGAGAGAAGAAAATAAATAATTTGAAAGAAAACTTACCACAGGATGTGATAGACACGATGCATGGACTCTTGTCCATTTGTAGTCATAGGCAAGTCCGGTCGTCATTGAGGAGCGATTTATTCGTCGTCGTTCTCTTTGCCGGGCAAGGGAGGATTGTCTTCCGGCATCCGCTTTCGGGCGGGAAATAACATTGCTTGGACGTTGGAAGCCCCCCACCAATCTAGCCATGTTTTGGCTAGAGGGAACAGCCGGCGTAATTTGTCAAACCTTGCATTAAGGTCTGGTAAACCGGGTCCATCTGGGAGAAGTAATTCCTTACATTTCTTTTCTTCTCCCAGTTTCCCTGTTTGGAAAGCACATCAAAGTATAAATTCCACAAGAAATTTGTCAGAGATGATGAGAAATTTTCACAGAAGATTGACTCACCACCTGCCTCAAGTTTACAATCTTACCGTTTTTCTGAATTTCAGTGACAGACTGATGGAAGTGCCATCTACATCCATGCAATTTAGATAAGGCTACATTTTTATCGTGGCAATTAAAGACCTCCATGTACGCGTCCTGAAAGCCAACTTTCTGAGCTAGAGAAAAATCCACTACTTGTTCCACCATCATCCCCTTGTTCTTTTCGGACATATCAGTTTTTTGAATCTGTTGTAGTAGGTTTTTGAAATGGATCTTGTAGTGTTCCGCGAACAGCCCGCCGAGCCATGAAAATAGCACAGGTACCCATCGTTTTAAAGTTTCACAGTACTTTGAAGTGGTCAATAAGTAACCATTTTTGAAAAAACGATAAGTCACGTCTGATAGAAGACCCCCCGTATACATGTTGGATTTCTCGTCTGGTTCAATCAAAACTTCCGACATCCATTTTGTCTGGAAACTTATGTGAGCATCATGTCCGGCCACAGATGAAGAAATAAAATTCAGGCCTTTCCTGTAGGAATTATTAAAGCATTAGACTATATCAAACTTTCTTTACGAGAAAGTCTGATGTTGCTCACCATGACCAATCCATCATGGTACAGAGCCACTTATCACCTGCTTCGGGGTCTTGGGTGTTAGTCATTATACCGGCCTGGGCTAGAAAATCACGTTGCAGGTAGCCTAGACAATCAGCATGGCCAAAGGAAGGATGAATATCCGTGACTGATTTGATTGGTTCTGACCCCACATGCGCGTCTCCAACCTGATGGTAAATTGTGTAAACAAAGAGGTCATTTATTGTGACTTTATTCAAAAAAACATGCGAAACATGTGAAGTGTAGTAGGAATGAACTCATACCTTCAATGGTAAAGGTCCGGTCTTGGGGTCGCTGATCATGCTTTCTTTCAGCTTATCTTTAGATATTGGATCCGCCTTCTTTGACTCGGGCCATTCATGATAATGAGTGCCTTGATGTCAAAGTAAACCCCAACCCTCCTCTTTGTTTGAGTCTAACTCAACATCCACTCAACAGGTAGCATTGCATGTGACATGATTTCGAAATCCTTTGCAGGAAGAGATAGGACAGGGTTTTAGTCTGTCCGTGATCATAATCAGAATTAGAGAGTCATGATTAGCACCAAAAGTACCAGCTTGACTTAGTCTTAGATGCAGACTCACATATCTACAGCAAGTTTTTTCGGACACGTTGGAGGTGAAGCAGCAAGGTGGCATTTCTTGTTGGTACATTTTATAACTCCCAAACAGTAGTATCACCTGATTATCAACTCTCTTTTCTTGGTCGTTTCCGTTCACATGGTGTGGGTCCAAGCAATAAAACGGAAATTCCGGGCAGGATGCTTGGGGTTGTTGACATAGACAGTGTTTCCGTTTGGATAAAGAGGATAGTTTTCCTCATCTACTTTGGAACCGTGATCAACAAAGGTTTTGTACAAACCTTTGTCAGTAGGTAGTCGGAGATTTGGACAGACTTGATGTAGGTCTGGCCGCGTAGGTTTCTTGGCAGCTGCTTCGACTTTAATCGGAGATGAAGCGATGCTCATGGTGGCCGGAGGTGAAGATGGAAAGTAAAGGTCTTCTTGATAACCGTTAAAAGATGTTAAGGAATAACACTTTTGACGGGGGACAGAATCACACAAAGTACTGAATACGTTTCCTTTGTCGCAAGAGGAAGACGTGGACACACACTCATCCAGTTCATTGTCAAATGGAAAGCTGGATGAGTGATTTTGAGGTGTATTCCGTGGAAATTCCACCGTTGCAAGGTCGCCATCATAGTGGGATGTGGCGTCTCCCATCTTGGGATTTGTATCAGTTGATTGATTCAAACAATCTTCAAACAATTTCAGAATATATAGCAAATAAGGGTCTTAGCGGATATGGCGTTGGAATATCTAGAGTCTTTTCGACTCCAGCCTTTATGGTCCAAATTGGGATCAGATTGATTTTAATGTTCATCCAATCTCCGGCTCACTGAGATGTGGGTATGCTTTGGATATTTGGTCATCTCATATGTTGAGGTATGTGTTGTTTGGATGTTGTCATGGGATTGTTTGTTGAAGGGCTTTGCAGCTGTGCGGTGTAAAGGATATGGTGTAAAATTAGAATTTCGAAGCTTCTGTGGTAATTTACCACAGGCCAGTTTCACACAGAGCGGGGTCAGTGTAAAGGGACCCCGTGTAAAATTCAAACTCGCCGGACGGTCCCAGATCATTACACTGTAACTATCTACACCGTAACTTTATGTGTAAAAGTCACGGTGTAAAATTACATGTATTGGCCGGGTTCCGTAATTTTACACTGACATCATTACACCGGGTTTTCTTACACGGACCAAAAAAAAATATATGTATAAAATTTAACAAAAAGGCCCTAACTTTGATTTTTACACAGGGTCGAGTTTACACAGGGTTGGGCGGTGTAAAGCAACCTGTGTAAAATTCTCCTACCCCTTAATTTATTCTCATTTGTTGATCATATACCTTGCAAAATTTAACCTCTTATGAAACAAGAAATGGAAAAAAGCTCATCATTTTGGTCAATTTTGAATGTTGTTGTCAATTTTTTTTGTGGCAATGTAAGATTGCACTTCGACTGTGTAGAATTGCATTTTTACACCAAGATTCTCTGTGTAAAAGTGGACTTTTGGCCGCAAGCCTGCATTTTTACACTGGAATTTTTGGTGTAAAACCGTTTGTGTAAAATTGCATATTACCCATGGGTTCCAGTTTTTGACACTGTGATTTCTTGCCAACACAAAATTCAAAATATCAATATAAAATTTGAAAATATGGGCATTTTTCAAATTTTGCACCAGGTCTGCTTTACACCGGGGTGTAAGGCTTGGAATTAGCCTGGCCTGGCCTCCAGAATCTAGGCGGAGCCGGAATCATCATTCTTGGTGACCAACCCGGCCCAGCCCAAAAAGAAAATGGTTGGTGTAAGTCTGTGTACAGACATTTTGACAAACATTGTGTTTTTTCGAAAATCTTGTCAACATGCAAAACCCGGGTTTTGCCACTGACTTGATTTGGCAGTCCACTAATTGGAAGAATACAGAAAAAAAATAAACCTGTAATCAAGCTGTTTCTCTGATTTTGGCCGCTGCAGAAACCTCGCTGGGGCTCGGGCCTTTGGCAAGGGACTTGGTTAAGTTTGCTGCAGAAACAACTTTCTCCAAAAAACATTTGTCAATCTTTCTTGAAACAGTTTGAAATTCCACCTTGCGTTTTTACACCACAAACGGGTGGAAAAATACAGGTCCCCTTTTTTAGTTCAGTTTTGCAACATAGGCTTCAATGGTTGCAGATATGTATGTTCCCTTTCATTGCATATCACTCTATTTTACTGTCTTGAATCACCAAAATCCTCAAATCATGTTAGTTGTGAAGGTCAGACTAGGTGCCACTGGTACAAGGCTAATCTGAGAGCTACAGTTTGTGGGTATTCAAGTGACCTGAAGCTGAATATGCAGTGGAAAACATGAGCACAAGTGAAACAAGAATAAAACAAAAGCCATCCTCATCAGATGAGATGACAAAGGTATCAGATCAACACAGACTACATAAAACTACAACAAAACTTCTCATTAAAATAGGTGTGATCATCTTATCTTGAAAAACTTAATGGTGATTTAATCATGGACAACAGACACATGTATGCACAGGATCTTACACGAGATGGGGTAATTAGGAATTCCTATGCCAGATTTTGACAAAAGTTCGTGAAATTATTTTCTACACAAGCTTATACTTGGTAGATGCCACTTGGACATTATGAATGGCGATCATTGTTGTGGAGGTGCTTGATTTTTTTGTTCCTCGGTCCCTTCTTTAATCATTCTTAAACTGAAAATCAATATACATACCGAAAATCTGTGGGATTTGTTTAATTGCTTGACATGGACTCTTCTCTGTGAAGATTAAATGATGACGTACCTCTGTTCTGGAGATCCGTCAGATCCATAAATGCTTTGTCCACCTTAGGTTCCAGCCCTGTTGGATGGTATTTGTTTTCTGAACTTCCTTCCACGGTTGTTTTCGGCGATCCGGCACATGTTACAAGCTCGTCTTGATCTCTTGTTCGATTCTGTTTCTTCAAGTAAAACCTCATTCCGATGATCAATGTGGAGCAAATCAAGTAGCAGGCCAATATCAATGACCAAGGGACAATGTTTCTAGGCTTGTACTGGGATTGCCACAGCTGGGGGGCTTGAGTAAGAATCGTAGTCACGAGATGATAACGGATAAAGCATTATGAATTTCGGTTGTCTGAAGTGAAGAAGCAACGGAGTTGGACCATACCAATGATGTTGCCAATACAGTAACCTGACCGTTTCAAATTAGGATAGCGAAGATATCTGTCAATATGCGATTACAAGGATACATTAAAGAGAGGGCGATCCTACCTATCATAGCTAACGATTGTACAGTTACTCGCTCTAACAATTGCCGTTCATAGATTGTGGATGGTCAGGTGAGGTCTAGTGGATAAACGCATTTGTCGCATGATATGCCGTTGTTTATATAAATCACAAACCGGAACTTACTGGTATGCCCGGCGGTAGTGGATGTGATCCATCCTAGTACAATGACAAATGGCTATGCATGGCCGGAGAATTGGAGATGGGTTAGGATTCAACCTGTTTCTGTACATAGATACATCAAGATAGGTTGTCGAAGCCGACTTACTGTCGAAGCAAACCAGCTAAGATAGATAGCGATGAGAAGCGCAACTTTCGAGCTCCAAGGAAATACGATAGAAATTATGGTGGCGCAGATGTTCGGTACCGACATAATTACTTCGTAGTTGGAAGAGAGTAAGAGTTTCAATAAATTTTGTTGTATCCCATGGTCAAGAGCGCATTAGATTGCTCCAATCGGAATGAAGGAAAATGCATGAACGTACTGGCTACGATAGCTCGTGAGTTTTTGAACGCTCTCACTAACAACACCCCGATGAGTATCGAGCCGGCTTGTACGAATCCAATGACCGAGCTCAAAAGTGTAGTAGAAAGCGTTGAATGTCCCAGAGATTTTATCTGAGTAAGAATGGCAAAAATCAATTTTGTAGATACAATGAGTTTCGGCCAGTCCTCATGAAGGCCGTTGAAGTCGAGAAAGAATAGGATGATGCTTACTATGAGTGATTGTTGGTTAGTGATGTTAGGTATGGTAGCCACAAGAGAATAGAAAAACCACACCCAGGTCTTGGGGTCTTTCAAAGCCTCCATAACTTGATGTCGCTTCAAATGCTTGTTCTCAACCTGAGGTGTGTAATTGAATTTTCACCCGTTATGGTCATCTCACAGTTCATGTGTTATTTCTAGAAACAACAGTCTCGACCATGACTTACGCCTGTCTGATTGACTTTGATGCGTAAGATAGCTTTCACCCTTTCGTCCGGTGTCAGAAACCAAGCGGTCGCAGGGGAGTCGGGAAAGAGAAAGAGCAACAGGAGTGATACACTCATTGTGATGATTGCCGTGAAAATGAAAAACCATTGCCAGGGATGGAACTACGTTGAGGTCATTGATCAGCTGATTTTTCAACGGGATGCAAACTATTATCCGAGCTTCGTGTGACTTACGCTTTTGCTGCGGATATGAAGCACACCAAAGCTAAGGAAGCTGCTAGTAGCCACCGAGATACCCTTGAGAAGAATAAATTAATAGCTTCAGCAACGCATCGCCGCATAAACCAGCCAGTCATAACTGTTTACATTCATCAGGAACCAGTAACCTGTTCTTGATCCTTGCTCTCGATGAGTGTAGAACCTATACATTTTACGTCACATCATGAGATCATCGCTCTGTGCGGGGATTGGAGTGAAGATATCTTACATTGAGGTGCTGATCATGAAAGCCGACGTAGCACATCCCTCGCAAGCTCCCAAGAGAAAGCGGCACAAAAATAATTGCCAGAAATTCTTGCACGCCTAGAAGCAGGGAATCCGAAATATGAGACAGTCGAACTTCGAGTGAGCCACAAGGGAGCAGGTAAAGGGCATATTCACTACTTGAGAGGCGACTAAAATCGCCCAAAGTATTCCATTGAAAGCTAGCCATTTTCCGACTGGGTAACGTTGAAGGGCGAGGTTCTGAGGATATTCAAACAGCAGGTATGATACTTTGCGCGTTGAAGGTGCGAAGATTGTAGCGAAGTCCGGCGTGTTAGTTTTTGTTAATCATCATGCACTCGAAGTACGTGCATTTAAAAGACTTGACTTACCATAAAATATGGTACCCAGCCAATTGTAGTCAGCCGCAGTCAGCTTCAAATCCTTTTGTAATCCGAGCAGAGCGGCGTTTCCTAAGGACAGCGCGCAGAAGATAAGTCGGATCAGAATTGGTCACAAAACTCAATCGTACATGGCTATAAATTACCTAAAGTGGTTTTATCCATGCTGAAATGTATTTATTATTTATGGCTCTTGTCAGCAGAGTTTTCAAAGAGCTTTAGATGCGACAAAGCCTTTCCATTCAACTCACAAGTGTACAAAATTTGTCACCATCATTCTGTTCAGAAAAAAGAAGTATTATTCCATCAGGCGCCACGGTTAGACATTGCGCGACAAAGGCTCATTTGAGGTATCTTATCATGGGCATACAAAGGGAGCACTGCAAAGGCAAAAGGTTTGAAAATGAATCATAGGCTGGGAGAAGCTGCAACATCAAGTCTCAAGATAATCAAGCTTACGGTTCCTATCAATCTTGCGTCGTATCCTGACATTCTCCTCTGGAGTAAGGCCGGTGAGTTCTTGGTCGGCAACTATCTTCGCTGCTACGTCCAAGTCTCTTTTGGCGATCGATGACGAACGAGTAGGACCTTCATCTTCGAGCCATTTCGAATGTTGAACGACCCCGTCTAAAGAGAGACTCATTATAGTCTGTTTTGCCTTTTATTGATGATAGAAATTAAGTATGTGCGAAATTGACTAATACCCCAATGCATAAAACAAACAGGAATATCTGCAATGGTGAGACGCGTGAGAGTGGATGAAGAAATATAGCTTTGGAGAAGCGCTCTCTCTTTCCATGAACGAATAACAATAGGAATCGAAGGTCCAGCCAATAATGCCGGGCAGCATTTGTATCAAAACACTTGTTCAAACTTTGAATGAGATCTCTGTTCGTATCGTAGCAGATCGTAGCTCATCTTTGCTTTTGGTAGGCGGAATCTAAGACGGCTCAAAGGAGAATATCCAAGAAGTTCAGATAGGCGGACGATAAAGCGCTTTATACTTTATCAAGGGCTTTGGCCTGTGAAAGTCAATAAAAGCCAGAAGAGACAAAGGTGGAGATATACACAATCTGATAACACAACGTGCTTCTCCTGAATGCCATGAACTCGCCGGCGTCTTTAAACTTTTCCATGTATGAATGTAGATATAGCATGTGAGCACCTGAAGTTGATGGCCGCCTACATATATGTACAACTTTGAGTACCAAATGGTTCATAAAACTTCACTTGTGAATCTGTCAACGTCTTTCTGATGTACATTCAAGCATCATGCCCGAGCCCTACAATCAATCAGAAGCCACCGAAGCCGAGCATGATCTGTTAAAGCCGAATCGAGGTTGCCTGATGGGCCCGATCGTCGTTTGAATCGACTTGCTCCTACATGCCCCCGTTGTGGAATTTTGGTTGATATATAAGTACAATAATCATGAACATGAATGAATGACCCCCTTCTTCTGCCTTCCTCTGTCTCCGCCCAAACTGCCCCAAGACCCCGAGCTGGAGTTATTCTAACTTGTTCGATATCCACACCCCAGTGGAAAGAGATGGTCAGGTCAAAAAACTGTGTACCCTACATGACTCATCACACGACCAAGTCTCTGAGACGCGAGCATGTTCGTCTCCAACATATACACACATCCAGTTTGCCCGCAAAGACATGGCTAGGCACACACGAACAAGGACACTGCGGACATGTACTGTCACATTCATGCGTGACTTGGTGTATATCATACGTATTTGAATGCCACAGAATATTTGCCCCGGTGAGAGCATCCACAGTCAGGTGGTGGGCGTGGCGTGTTTGACGCGCCAAAGGGCGCGTCCGCCCACGCCCGTCAAAAAATCTCAAAAATAGGGGATGGCACGCCCATATAAGATGAGGCTAGTTTTTGATGACGTGGAATGGTTGATCTCTTCTATCTCTTCCAAATCCTTTTTGTATCAAAGAATAAGACAGATTTATCAGATTTTCTAATTGATCAATACTTCTGCTTTATCAACATTCCAAAAAAACTATCAAGTGGGAAACTCCCAGTGATCAACATGGCAAGAGGTGGCATGGATTTCTCATGGCAAGCAAATGCTGTTCTGTTGCTGGCCGTTGGAAAGCCAAATGCATGCATTGCTTGGCTGAGCTTGATGGAAAGCCAACATTACTGTTTGATCACATCAAGGAGAAGTGGAAGCATATATCAAAGGAAGGTAGATCACCATACATTCAATACAATCTTAACAACAAAAAAAGTGAAAACCCATCCAATGACACCAAGGATCAGGTGGTCTCCAATTTAAATCAGCCACTCATACAACCCCAATTTGTTCACAACTTTACAAAGGAATCACTTCATCATATCAGTGGCACCTCAAAGGAAAAGACAGATCAGCTACACAAACTGCTTTTCAAAGCTTTCATATCTGGCCGTATCCCCTTTTGCTTCCTTCAAGTTAGATACTTTCAAGAATATCAAAAACAGCTTTGTGTCACAACATACAAGGTTCCATCCTGTTATATCGTGATGGATCAAATCCTCCCACATTTACATGCCAAGCACAGATCTTTGTTCAATCACAGTTACGCCAGCAGACAAACTTGACTATATCTCTTGATGGCTGGACTGATTGCTCAAGGAACAGTATCTATGCTGTTCTTGTACTACGCAGAGCTCAACCCAAACAATTCATAGATGTCCTTGATCTTCATGAAGAACACCATACCTCTGAAAACATCTGGACTGCCTTGAAACAATCTCTGGTCAAGACAAGCATTGACTGGCAGCAAATTAGTGCTGTTGTATCAGACTCGCCATCAGTCATGGTCAAATTCAGGGGTTGTTTTGTTTTCTTTACCTTTTGTGTATGTATATAACAAATTGATGACTGATACCTTTTTTAATGATCTGTCAACAGAAACTTCTTCTTGAGGCTCACCCACATATCTTTGGCTTAGCATGCTGCCTTCACACCTTCAATCTTATTGCAAAGGATTTCCTTGGGCACTCTCTCATGAAGGATGTTGTGGACAATAACAAAGCCCTTGTCAACCTCTTCACATCCTCAGCTTTTGGGGCCAAGCACCTCCAGAAATGCAGGAAGAAAGAGAATATCACACATGGCCTACAGACAGCATGTGAGACCTGTTGGTTTTCCATGGCCAAGGTGTGCCTATGTGTTGAGGACCATGAGCTTGGATTCTGCTGATGTGTGGCAATGCTGGATGATCAAAGCATTGATACACCTGCAATTAAAAGAAATGTCCAATCAATTGTTGATAATTGTGATCACTTCACCTCTAATCAAGTTTTGGTCAAAGTCCTTTGACCCATTGTTGATGTGATTGCTTGATTGATTGCTAATGTATAATGTAGACTTAGAAAGATTGATCTACATATGTGTACACACTTCATTAGTTCCAAGCAGCACTTCTTGAATGCAGTGCATCAGCAATCAAAAATGTACAAAACCAATATCTATATCATCGGATTCTTTTTGAATCCATCATGTCGTCAAATAGCAGCCTCTCACAAGTTCTCTATTGAAAAAATCACCCAGATGATTATCAGTGTTGCTTGGTCTTGGGGATTCAACAAACCAGATGCCTTAAGTCTCAAATATTTCCTCAATATTATAGTGGAAATGATATATTTCCAACCTTCAAAAAAGGTAAAGTTTTTACAAATCTTCAATTGGGTAGTATAGATCACTGATCATCTCACATCTGATAGATGAAAAACCATTGGACTACTGGCTCCGAGCCACAATATTTCCACATACAAATCAGTTGAAGACAATTGCAATAAGGATCCTTGAGCTCGTGGCACATGCAGGTGGTGTTGAAATTCTCTTCTCAGATATGACAGGTACAAAGACCAAGAATTGTAATTGGATGGATCCTGATACACTAAGCACTACACAAAATGTAATCTTTACCGGGCGGTAAAGAAAACTACTGACATAGAAAAGTCCGGAGGCAACAGGAAGAGAGCTAAAAATCTGGAAAAAAATGCACCTTGTTCCTAGATGTTGGGGCGTCATGATGAGTATTTTTTTGTATTTTACACACGGATATTGGTTAATGTACTAACAATAAAGGCTGAGAATCATCAAAAACCCACCGGTAACAATACCTGAAATTTGGCTCTTGATTTTGAAGACAGGATTTTGGAATCTTCAAACATCAATAACTTTTGCAGTTCTGAATCAAATCACTCAATTTGAAGTGCATTAAAAAGGTGAGCCTTTCCTCTACATTTTTCATTCAGACATCACATCTGTAGCTGGTCTAAAAAAGATAATACAGAGATATTCATGCAGAACTTTTTGAACATATGTAGAGTGTTTAAATGGCTAGATAGCACCTTAATAACATTATGAAGTGTGAAGGAGGATAGTTCAGCTTTTGAATGAACCAAAAATCGAGTTATTTGGAGCAGAATTGCAAAAGTTATTGAAGTTTTTAGACCACAAAATATTGTCTTCATACTCATGACCCAAATTTCAGGTATTGTTACATGTGAGTTTTTGATGATTTTCAGCGTTTATTGTTAGTACATAAACCAATATCTGCATGTAAAATACAAAAAAATACTCATCATGACGCCCCAACATCTAGGAACAAGGTGCATATTTTTTCAGATTTTTAGCTCTCTTCCTGTTGCCTCAGGACTTTTCTATGTCATTAGTTTTCTTCACCGCCCGGTAAAGATTACATTTGGTGTAGTGAAGGATGATCTCACAGATTGGTATGGGACTTTCTTCCAAGCTAAGCTCTTCAAAGAAAAGTATCTTGCCAGCACCCAGTCAAGATCAGGTGGCTGGAAGCTACTCGGATAACAATTTTGATGGCCTTGATGCTCTCAAAGAATTTGAAGCTGGGATATACCCACTCAACATGGTTGATCAAATTGAAGGTCTTCTTTATCCCACTCTTGGGCTATAGGAAGGTTACATCAATAGCCTTTTTGACTTATCTAACTTTGAAGTTAGAACAAGTAGTGCTGATGATCCTCCAAATTGCAACATCATTGTTATTGATGACCCTTCAAGCTCATGGGACCTAGAAGATATTTTTTAAACATT